TCCTCTTGCAGTTTTATAAGTCGCGTCAAGGTAAATCTCGCAGATGTTAATATTACGATTCTTAATTTCTTCTAACAGTGGGGTGATGAAACTGATGGCGGTGATTTCTGAATCTTTATATTTAAGCACCATCGGAAGCCATGAGTTTCATGCTCACTAAGCAGTTGGCACGCGAATTCAATATGATTATTATAATGTTTAAATAGCTTCTGGCTCGCAACTGACTTCCAAAAGTAAAGACGCTTGGGTGAATACTTCGAGATATCAAATCCTTTACGCCGTAGGTGATTTTTCAATTCTATTGCAGTAAGATGCGAGTACATTTTGATCTCTTCCCGTAATTCGTTTGGCATTTTAATACAGAGATTTGGGCGTGGATGGAGATGTCTATAGTAAATATCTACTTTTGCAGCATTAAGAACCAAATCGACTCACACTATAACTTTTCCTTTGCAATCGTAGCATATTCGTCATTTTCAGTTGGAATCTTTATAATCTTCACATTGCGTCTCTTTCGACTGATAACAAGCATAATAAAACCTGCCAATTGTGTCTCCAAATTTTTTCGACATTTCCGCTTTTAGAAAGCTACAATAATAGTATCAAGTTAGCAATAATTTAAGAAGTATCTTATAATGAGATGATACTTACTTTCACGAATAATCATCTCCACCTTCAATTTCAGCTACTATAAGATTAGCTATTTCTTTTGCCATCTTGCTTTGAGTTATAGCAGCGTCCATATTTACTAGCAATTGAGTCCGATAAGCCACGTTAGCTACTCCATCGATTTGTGATTCAATTGTCAGTTCTTGGATTTCATTTTCAACAAAGTCACCCATATCAAGATAGTCGACTTCAATGCGTATGTGTTCTGTTTCAGAACATTCACCTGTAACTGTTCCATTATGTTCCTCCCCCTCAGATTCTTTGGATACTTTCTTTATTATATGGGTGAGTGTATTAAGATCTTTATTCAAAACATCGGAAGAAGCTTCCAAATTCTTTTGTCAACTCAATTCATAATTAATTATTGGTTGTGTGATTCTATTTGGCATTTTATTCTCTTTACCCTTTGATTCACAGTTCTCTTTGCATTTTTTACATGTTTTATGATATTTGGCATCCCAAATGAATTGGTCGTTTGATCATTTGATTTTGCATTTATTGCAGAAATCCATTAATCACGATTTTATTGATAATTGATAAGTGGATGCTTAAATATACAATTTTTTGACTCCTATTTTTGAAGATCTTTACAGTTTCGATCTATGAAAGAGTAACGCGTCTTAGAAGAAAACATTGCAAAAAGAAGAAAACACTTTGAAAAGGGTATCATCCAGTAATACTTCCAGTGGTTCCATTTTCTGGAGCGATCTCTGCTATACGTCTTGGGTCACATGCTTAGTTTGGTATTTCATGTAGCTTGATCAAGAATGGGAAAGTAAAATGATATTAAAGAAAAGATATATTCAGTTTATTTAATATCATAATTTGAAATGTATTCTTTGAGTCTATAATTGGTGAAAAGCTATCATCGAGCATGCAATCAGTAAAAATTAGACTGAACAAGTGATGTGACATTACCAGGAAATCGTTTATAATGTTTACTGGATTACCTGAAGATTATCTGAAGACTATTCAAGTGTATCTGTGGATATTCAGACTATTCAAGTATATCTGTGAATATT